CAGTTGGAAACTGGATTTTGGATGCCACATGTGAGTTTTTGGTGGTTTTCAACCAGAAGCCCACCATAACACTCATTTTCTACATAGTCCTCACACTCCTGTCTTTTTGGTAGCAATCTTGCGCCACAGCAACACCACATGCACAAGACTTCTTGGTTCCGTCGAAATTGCAAGAGCAGAAGTTCTTGAATTGGTGGATGTGAATCACTGTACGTGGAGTGCCCTTTTTGTGCGGGTATTGTCACTGAGGATTACAACGTAGCCTTCAAGTTCATGCTGAATAAAGTAAATCTTGATGGGCCTCTGCTCGAACTCAGTGCCGGCTTCTCTGCTTCCGATGGTTCTTCCACCCCGGTATCTGGTTTTGACATGGGGGAAATTGGAGAAAATCCCAGTGAGATATCATTACAGCCTGTGGAATTATCTCCTCAATTTCCATAGTTACCTCCATCAAAAATCGTGGAGTCATTGACAATTTACGATCCATGAAGATGCAAGGTCCAGTGGATCCCTTGGAGCTTTGGACAATGCATGAGAGGATCCTTCTCCTCTGTCAAAGCAGTGAAATCCGTGCTGAATGCCTGAACATACTCGGGGACATTTGTCTACAGTGGTACATGAACACTGGAACTGTGGATGGCCTCAACCAGGCAGTCTGGGTTTACACCGATGCAGTGCGGGATGCTCCGATGTCTGTAACATATTTGTTGGATTTTGGTATAGCTCTTCGTTGGCGCTTTGAATGGCTTGGAAATGTGGTTGATATCAACCAGGGGAGAGAGATATGTGAAGCTGCTGTCAGGATGACTCCAGAAGGCGACCCAGACATGGCTTCACGATTGACCAGTCTTGGAGATTCCCTGCTCAGTCGCTTTGAGCGGCTTGGTGACCTCACTAATCTCAATGAGTCTGTGTCCACATTGAAGGCTGCTGTCAGCCTCACTTCAGAGGGCCATCCAGACATGCCTTCATGCCTGAACAGTCTTGGTAATTCCCTGCTCAGTCGCTTTAAGCGGCTTGGTGACCTCACCAATCTCAATGAGTCCATGTCCACATTCAAAGCTGCTGTAAGCCTCACTTCAGAGGGCCACCCAGCCAAGGCTTTGCAGCTGAAAAATCTCGGAAATTCCCTGCTCACTTGCTTTGAGCAGCATGGTGATCTCACTGATCTCAATGAGTCTGTGTCCATGCAGAAGGCTGCTGTCAGCCTCACTCCAGAGGGCCACCCAGCCAAGCCTTCACGGCTGAACAATCTTGGACATTCCCTGCTCACTCGCTTTGAGCAATGTGGTGACCTCACTGATCTCAATGAGTCTGTGTCCACATTCAAGGCTGCAGTCAGCCTCACTCCAGAAGGCCACCCAAACATGCCTTCATGGCTGAACAATCTTGGTGATTCCTTGCTCAGTCGCTTTAAGCGGCTTGGTGACCCCACTGATCTCAATGAGTCTGTGTCCACATTGAAGGCTGCTGTAAGCCTCACTCCAGAGGGCCACCAAGACATGCCTTCATGCTTGAACAACCTTGGAAATTCCCTGCTCACTCGCTTTGAGCAGCTTGGTGGCCTCATTGATCTCAATGAGTCTGTGTCCACATTCAAGGCTGCTGTCAACTTCACTGTAGAGGGCCACTCAGACATGCCTTCACGGCTAAACAATCTTGGCAATTCCTTGAGCCGTCGATTTGAGCAGTTGGGTGATCTCACTGATCTCAATGACTCTGTGTCCAGGCATGAGGCTGCTGTCAGCCTCACTCCAGAGGGCCACCCAGCCAAGCCTTCACGGCTGAACAATCTTGGTGATTCTTTGCTCAGTCGCTTTAAGCGGTTTGGTGACCTCACTGATCTCAATGAGTCCGTGTCCAAACGGAAGGCTGCTGTCAGCCTCACTCCAGAGGGCCACCCAGACAAACCTTCATTCCTGCACAATCTTGGAAATTGTCTGCATCACCGCTTCACCAGACTTAACGACCCTCGTGATTGTGAGGAGATGCTGCTCCAATATAGCCGTGCTGCCTCCTCCCGAACTGGTTCAGCTCATGTCAGATTTCAGGCCTCTGCAATGTGGGCACATTATGCCCAAATTCACCAGACCTCATCTGTTCTCCATGCATACAGCACAGCCATTGACCTTGTGCCCCAAGTGGCTTGGCTTGGCCTTTCCATCAGTGATCGACATCACCAGCTTTTGAAAACAGGCCCAATTGTGAGGGCTGCTGCATCAGCCGCAATTGAGGCCCATGAATACTGCAAAGCGGTGGAGTGGCTTGAACAAGGTCGTTCAGTTATTTGGGGCCAGTTTCGCACTCTGCGTGCTCCATTAGATGACCTCCACGTGGTCCATCCCAAACTTGCAGCTGAACTTGTCTCCATTTCAAACCTGTTAGAAATGTCTGGCACATGGAGTGGTATAGAGGCAGCCAGCTTTAGGCCCTCACAGTCACTTCAGGCCACTGCACATCAATATCATGATCATGCTGTCCGAAGAGACAAACTGCTCGAACAGATCAGAGGCTTGGCTGGGTTCGAGCGGTTCTTATTGCCAAAGCCAATTTCCGAGCTTTCTGCTGCTGCAAAAATTGGCCCTGTTGTCCTGTTGAATACCAGCAGCTATCGCTCTGATGCTCTAATCCTCATTCCCGGTGTTGGGGAGGAAGTTATACATGTGCCACTCCCTGATTTCACACTTGATCAGGCAGAGCATTTGACTGAAGCCCTGGGATCTCTAGTAAGAGGAGCTGCCCGCAGTGATAGGTTGGATGCTTGCCGCGAGGGAGAGTTGCCTCCAGATGAGGAGTTTTCACGCATTCTCTCTGCGCTCTGGATCAAGATTGTTAAGCCTGTTCTTGATGGACTTGCTGTGATGGTGAGGCATGTTGACCAGATGAAGTAATTCAGGTTCTCATATCTAGCATAGAATCCTTCATATCAGGATCCCAGACGTATATGGTGGTGTCCCACAGGGCCACTTGCCTTTCTCCCCATCCATGCAGCAGGCCACTATGGCCAAGAGGTAGCCTTTGGCTCAAAGTTGTCTGACTTTTTCATTTCATCCTACACACCTTCATTGTCTGCTTTGATTGAAGGCTTCCATGCCAAACAGGAATCACAGGATGGACTCCAGCTCCTCGCTGTTGCCCAGCCATCTGCAATTGGACAGAACCCAATTCCTGGAACCATCAAGGAAATTGCCTCTATTGAACAACTTGCCCACAGAGTAATCCCAGTGCTGCGTTTGGAGCAGGACATGGCAACTGTGGAAAGTGTTCAAAAAGGAATGAGGGAATCTCGCTGGGCACACTTTGCATGTCACGGACTACAGGATATTTTCACTCCAACAAACAGTGCCCTCCTCCTTGCTGGAAGTTCAAAGTTGACACTTTCAGACATTATCCAGCTACAGCTGCCACATGCTGATCTAGCATTCCTGTCTGCATGTCAAACTGCCACTGGTTCCAAAAATCTTCAAGATGAATCCGTTCATCTCACTGCAGGCATGTTGTTGGCAGGATACTGTGGTGTCATTGGGACAATGTGGTCCATAATGGATGCCGATGGGCCACAGGTTGCAGGTGATGTTTATGCCCACCTGTTCAAAACATCACCACCAGACTCCACAAGGGCAGCGGAAGCACTTCATCTCGCCGTCCAGAAGCTCCGGGACTCGGACCGTGCTGGAGGAACAAAATCATTTTCCCGCTGGGTGCCATTCATACATGTTGGGATTTAATCTGGGAGGTATGGAGAGGATATGTAGTATGTATGTAGCCTCAATCTTTTTTCTGTTTGCTTAGTTTTCAATTTGACATTTGACATTTGTGGAGATGGCTGTGATTCCATGCCTTTGGGAGGAATCAGACCTCCATCAAATCTTCTAGGTCAAACAGAGACCAAGTGATCACCATGATCCACGAAGGCTTGCTCATCCTATTTTGTCCATAACCACTTTACGGAGAATTCACGGAGCCCACGGCTGGGAGGACGAAACAGCAGGTGGAAACTCTATTTGCCGATGAATGCAATTTTGTGGGTCCGGAAATAAAGGCATATTACTTGAACCGATGATAAGTGCAGTTCAGTGGCATTCATTATAAGAGAAGGTGGGACCGGCAAGGAGCACTTTCCAATGTGGAACATGTAAGTGGTTGAGCTGGAGTACTACTACTAGAGGGCAAGCTAACCGGTCGGGACACCTTTGCCAAATATGGCTGTCTTGTTGAATGGAAGGGGCAAAAAAATATGATAAAGCGAGTTTTATGCCTTTGGGGGGAGTTGAACGTTGAACCTCCGTCTCCCCGCTCAAATTCCAAACATCAACACATGTACCGAGATGATCACCGGGTCAACAAAGGCTATGTATCTCGCCTTCATTCCTCGCCAAGTGCTCTTGAAAATAGAGCAGTGAGCCTTGGCGGACAAAAAAGCAGGCACAATCATTCTTTTCCTAGGCCAGAGGGAGGGAGTATGCACTGTACACCACACCCGATAGCTATCTTTATGACCTGAATAAACCACGCAGATTTTGCCCCCGTACCCATGCAAATGCAGAAAGTTCCAAATGTGGACCACTATTGCTGCAGCAGTTCCTTGCTTACCCGCCATCGCACGGGCCTCATAGGAACCAAAAAAGGAACCCTTAACAGAATGTGGCTGCCGACTCGCAGGCCGGAAGAAAAAAATGCCCGTGATCCAGGCGCCAGGAATCGAACCCGGATTGCTGCCTCTACTGCCTTATACACTCGAAGTTATCTGCAAACGGAGAGAGAGCACGCACCCTGCACCACGCCCGATTTCTGGAACCTAGATAAACCACATCCACTCAGGAATGACAATGAACTTTTATTAACTGTCGTACGCGAAAATAGAGGGAGAGTGCGCCTACACCGTACCCGACTGAATAAGCCACGTACTGATCTCATCTCATGTCGCAAATGTGCCATCCGCCGGGGCGGGGCTCCCGAAATGGCCGACCAAAGAAAAAAGCAAGTTATAGAAGAGCAAGTTCGGGCGCCGGGAATCGAACCAGGCCTATTCCCCTCATCTCTCCTGTTCACCGACAATGGAAAGGAGTGTGCACCACACACCACGCCCGACTTCCTAGCTCCCTTTTAGTGCTCAATAAACCACCTCCGTTTCGCGGCTCTCGCAGCAAAAATAAAAGCTTGAGGCAAGAGCGGATTCGGGGGCCAGGAGTCGAACCTGGGCTTCTCCCACTCAAGTTTCAACTGGATGATATCCGTGAAAGGAGGAGGGAGCGTGCACCGTACACCACGCCCAACTTCCTACCTCCCTTCTCTCCCTCAATATCCACGCCTTCCAACCGCAAGTTTGGCTGCGCGCGCGCGTCCCGAGATACTGCCATCTCGCTGGCCTCCAAGTTGCAAGTGATGGGAAAATAATAATTGCCGATTCGTAAGATAGAGCCCGCAGGACTAATATAGAGCTTGAACTTGAAGCTTGAAGGCCCACCAAAAAAAAGGAGATTTCATTGAAGCGTATTCCAGCACCGGGAATCGAACCTGGCCGACTCCCTCATATTTCGACACGCAATGGCTAAGAGGAGGGAGCGTGCACCGTACACCACACCGGATGCCTTCCTCTCTTTCAGGGCTGAATGAACCAAATGCATCCGGCGCATGGATCCGACTCGACTGCGTTCGCAGAGGAAAAAGAAGTCTGTGAATATTCAGAAATTCCTCCGCTCGGGAATAAACTGGACATGGGATACTCACCACTAGCTCGTTAAATTTTCTCCGCTCGCGCGCTTGAAATATGCTCGTTCCTCCGAATAGAAAAGCAACCTTCATAGACAACTGCTTAGTTCGGGCACCAGAAGTCGAACCCCGCCTACTCCCAATCACTCAATGTCTTCGGCCTGAAGAAAGAGGAGGGAGCGTGCACCGTACACTACGCCCGAGTACTAGCCTCATTCTCTCCCTCAATATTCCTCCGACATTTTGTCGGGCCTCAGTAAAGAAGTCAAAAAATTTTGCTCGAACACGGCGAAACTCAGGCGCAATTCCTCCTTGTACTCCTCGGATAAACCCGCTGGTCTCGTGCGCTTCGGGGCAGATGAAAAGATATTCGAAGATTTCGCGCGTCGGGCGCTGGGAGTCGAACCTGGACTCCCCAGATCATGGGTTCCACCACAAGAAGAGGGAGCGTACGCCACGCCCGAGTGCTAGCCTCACTCTCTCCCTCAATATTCCCCCGACATTTTGTGGGGCCTTGAGCTTGAGGAAGGAGGGAAAAAAGGATTCCTCGAAGGCGCACTTCCGTCTTGTACTCATTGAATAAACCCGCCGCGGCTGATCTCGCACGCTTCGGCACAGATAAAAAGATATTCTCCACAACTAAATTCGGGCGCCGGGAGTCGAACCCAGCCTCCTCCCTTCAATCTTCGTGAAAGTGCAAGAGGAGGGAGGGTGCGCCGTACACCACGCCCGATTCCTTTGCATAGGCCTGTACCAGAATAACGCAAACACGACTCATTTCACGCCCTTGCGGTTATGCGCGAGACGTCAGAGCACTGCGGAGATTTACAGAACAATATTAATCCGAAGACCCATAGAACAGTCCGGAGACTCGCAGACAAGACCATCAGGAGAAAGCTCGCGCGGAGACGCGGTGAAAGTTCGCGCGAAGCCAAGAACGAATGGAACCCCGGCGGACAGCGCAGTACAGTATTGCAGGCAGCGGTCTCGCTCATTCAGCTAGCGGAGGAGACACAAGGAAGACAGCCAAAAACCCAATATATACCGACAGACGACAATGGCCCATATGTAGCAGTGAACTGAAAGAGCAAGGTAAACGAAGTCAAGGGAAATGAATGCGCGTCAGCGCGTAAGCGCGCAAACGCAGAAACGAGCGGAAGCAAGCGTAGTGAGGCCAGAGGAGCGAGTCCCTCCGAAAATCGGAGAGCGGGAGGAGATATCGAAAGCGAAAGCGATCCGGGTGAGGGAGGAGGACGTATATACAGGTGCGAAAGTAAATACGGAGAAGGAAGAGAGAAGAGAGAAAGGTAAATAAATATATGAGCAAAACGAAGAAGGGCGAGTGGGAACAAGGAAGTCGGAGCAAGAGCGAGTGGTAGATAAAGTAAGGAGTGGGAGATGGGGATGGAGTAAAAGAAGATAATGAGCAAAGAGGTGGTGCGAAGGCATGCACGAGATATAATATAACAAGCGGCGCGGGCGCGCAGGGACCAGACAGCGGGAGACGGACAAGAGGGCGTGAGACGGCGCGTACGCGTGACGCAGTTTTGGTGATGGGGAAGATCAAGGGCGCAAGACGGGGATTCATGCGTGTGATGCGCGATGACCCGATGGATGGACAGATCGAAGGCGGGAGAAGGCACATCTGCAGTAAATGAATCAGTTCCAGGCCCAGGCCGGACAGCGGCATACGCACCTGGACGGCGCACTTCGAGCGTGCAGGCAGCATCATACACAGACACGGCGCTGTACGGCGGGGCGGCGCCAGGAGTGCTCCCACTCGATGAGCGCGCGCGCGAAGCCGGGGTTCGGCTTGCGCTTGACGAAGGCGAGAGCGGCGTTGTGGGACATGGCGTGGTTGCGGATGAGGTACGCGATGACGATCGAGGGCGAGCGGGAGACGCCCTGGGTGCCAAATGAGTGTACGCAACGAGGAAGATGGAGGGATGGGAAGGATGAGGAGCAGGACGCACCTACTGACAATGCACCAACACCGCCTCCCCCCTGCGCAGTGCGCGCTTGATGTACACACACGCGGCGTCGAGGTGCGGGCGCAGGTCGACGCTCTCCTTGTCGCGGATATCGATGCTGTACGCGACGAACCCGTCCTCCTTCCGTGCGGGCGGCGCCCACGGCGCCTCGAGCGCCTGCACCAGATGTGTGACCCCGTGCGCGCGCAGCAAACGGTGGTCATTCGCGGCGCTCAGCGAGCAGCCCGCCGGACATCACCTGGCCCCCGGGCGCCTGGGAGGAAGAGGTGTACGGCGCATAGGGCGAGGCGGAGGAGGAGTGCAACGAGGCGAAGCGGCGGGGGCGAATTTCGTGGTCTGAGAAACGGAGCTACTTCAGCTGAGCGGGCTCGCGGTTTGTGGATTACAGGCAAAGGGAGCGCAATTCAAACTTCACGTTGTAAGTACTTAGGGCGAAGGCAAGGAGCAAGGGCTGTCCGCTCGGATCAAACCGCGAAATCATTGATCGGTCGGCGTCGGTCGGTCCTTTCTTTCTTTCTGCCATCATGGCACTGCTCCCTCAGGAACTCGTCGACGCGATCATTGGCGAGCTCGACGACGTCAAAGCCCTCAAAGCATGCTCTCTCGTGGGATCCCCGATGCGCAACAGGAGCCAGCGCATTCTCCTCCGGTCTTTGACGCTAAAGAATGGACGGCGCGGGAAGCCTAGCTTGCCAAATTATAGTGCAGTCTGCGCTCTGCTCGCGGAATCGCCATACATCTCGGCCTATATAACACAGCTGAAAGTTGAACTTCCACCGGGACCACCAGTGAAGATAGACGCGCAGGATATCGAGAGCCTCCAGGAAGTTCTTGGAAAGTTGGCTAATGTGCAGCGGTGTATCGTCGAGGGTGGTGGGAGACTTGGGGATGGCCCGACTGAGTGGGAGTGCCTCGCACCGGGGCTTGCCTCAGACGTCGTCAAGTTTATCTCCCGGCACTGTTAGGGCTCCATGTTCATGGCGTCGACGCGATACCACTGGGCGTGTTCTTACGATTCATGACGGCCGCACCGCTTTTAGCCTTCCGCAATGTGTCGATGGACGTGGAATCCCACAAGCTTCCTGCGATATCTACAGTACACGGACCGCCTGTCCACCGCTTGGTGCTTGACATGGGATCCGGGCCCATCACCGAATTGTTGGCGCTCCCGCAATTTTCGTCGCACACCGCAAACGTCCGCGGCCTGTCGATCTTCCCGTATTTTGACCGGGGCAGCCGGTTGGTTTCGTCCGTGGCCCATACACTCGAGCATGTACATTTCAAGTGCACAGGTATTCCCCCAATTATCGATGTGTCACACGCCGTATTCACTCGCCTTCAGATGAGACATGGAATCTCTCTCTCCCGCCCCTTCCTGCCCTCCGCACAGCAGAGTTCACGATGTCATTTGGCAACCGCACCGCACCCGCCATTGTCACCACCGTTTCCTCCCTCCTGGACCCCACCTCGAGCCCGCGACTCGAGGAGATTGTGATCACATACTTCAGGTTCGGGCCGCGCCCCCCGCCCGTATTCGACTCCGCTTTCCTGATTGGTCTGGACAACGCGCTCGTGGCGCACCCCTCGGCACCCTGCATTCGGTGGCGGCTCGATCCCGACTGGGATGAGAGAGCCACGTACTTGGCGGCTTTCTCCGCGTTGGTGCGGCAAGGGATGCCGAAGGTGGATCGCCTGGACCGGCTCACGGTTGAGCCGTATGAGGAGTACGTCGCCTTGGTTGATGGGCTGCGATATGATATACGCATATAGCCTGCTGGGACACCAGCATGTATAATTGTGGTTAGGAACTGTCGTTCTGGGAATAGACCCTCCGAAATACAGAGGAGAGGCTCGGTGGTCTGCGGAGTCCATTTGAATCACTTGGGAGGAGGTGATTCCTGCTCGAATGTTGCCACCGAGGATCGCGCACGAAGTGATCGCGTACAGGAAACCCAAGGGAGATCATGCAAGCATGCGTACTGTATCTTTGGACGCCTGGCAGGCTGCTGGCAGGTCACTATATTCGCCTCCATCTTTTAGGCGCGCATCTAAGTCGTCTTTAAGCGCCAAGGGCGCATATTGGTGATGTATGCGCGATTTTGGTTTGTTCGATCGACATCTTTCTGCAGAGAACCGGCCCCTGAAAAGCTTCAAATTATCCTTGGAATTAAATTACTGTAGGTATGTATTTTTTTCGAGCCCGTGATGCTAATTGCGTCGAAGTTTGCAATAGGTAGAACTTACGCGGCGCTTAAACAGACAGATGAGCGCTAATGGATATGTTGCATTGTCCTGGGCGCTCAACACTTGGGGTTACATAGGTAGATGAAACGGGCAGGAGGAACTTTCGTTGGACATCGGCCGCTCAAGCTGTTGAACGCGCACCGT